CGAGAAGAATAGCACCTGGTTTGCAGAATCAGTATAAAATATAATGCAAATTCAGAACTCCGATGAATGAAAATGAGAGATTTTCCGAAAGATCACCTGAGAGACGGAAGACGCCGATGCATGTTTGATGACTGCCTTCTAAAAACAACCGCCGCCCCGTCCTTGAAACTGGAAATGACGGCCATTGGAATATAGCCTATACTCTTGCTCGCATGTAGTAGAGCTTAAGGAGCATCTACGAGGTCAAATTATGGAAGAACCTGCCGATGAGCTTCACAAATTTCCATGTTTATTTTTTATTTTATTTTTTTTCATTTTTTCATTTTTTCATTTTTTCATTTTTTCATTTTTTCATTTTAATAAGATGGGAAGGGATTTAAAATTACTTTTTCCGAGGTCCTGCCAACGTCTCTGGACTCCCTAACGTTGCCGTCAGCCGCCACGTCCCGCGATGAAACATGCAAGGCGGAGTGGAGCTGGGTGTCTTCGGGCGTCTAGCATGAACCTCGTTGAGTGTGTGACGTTGTGGTGATGCCTTTGATGACGCCTATAGTTTGATGCTCGAGCATCAAGTCTATAAACCCAAACAACCAAATCACCACTAATGATTCGTATGCTAAAACGAGCTTGAACGACGATCAAATATTCACACCCACGGCTTCTTTCAAATCCTTTCAAAATTTTCACATTACTTAAAAATGACCCAAATATTTCTCCTTAGGTCGTTGTTGTCCATCACTTACTACTAGCAACTACAGTCACTTAGCCATAAGTAGTGCGATGGTCGACTATCGACTACTACTCTTGTGAACCATCACTAGCCAACATCAACTACGACTTCAAACGTGGTCGATATTAGTTACTGATAATTCAAATTTGAGTTTGTTTACTTACTTAAAGTCAAGAGTAAGTGTCGCACAATCATTTCGTATCGTTTCAAATGGTGCAGCTCTTACAAATAAAATCAGTAAACACGTCCACGACTAAATAATTGGGCATGTCCACGTGTGATCGATCAATCGAGCTCGAAGAATAGATACAATCTATTAAAGAATTCTCTCTTATAGCATATTATTAAGAGGTAATAAAAATTAGACATGGTTTCAAAACGACACAGTTTCAGCCCGCTCTGTGAAATAACAAACCAAAGAAAGAGAAAGCCCTAGGCCCTTTCATCTTCTTCTTCCTCTTCACGCCTGCTACTCCTCCCATCCAGCAGCGTAGTGTCGCCGTGTCCGTCTTAGCGGCCTGCAGTGGTTCATTGTTGCTTCTGGTATTCTCTCAATCTCCATCTATATCGTTTGTTCTGATTTGAAAAACTAAAATTAGGACTTGCCTAACCAAAGAAATAATAATACTAGAAGGTACAGTTAGAATTGTTCAAGTTCCAGAATTCTCTCTCTAGGCCTTCATATCCTCAAATACAACGTCCATCCAATTCAAATCAATATGAATTGAACAGAAACAGAACAATCCTTGTTTCCCAATCTTAGTTAGAGAATATTAGCGGGAAGAAGTATTCTGCTTGATGCTGTGCAAGTGCAACGCCGAGCAAAATCTACGGATATCATTGAAGAGACGAAATGCTTTTCCTTGAATATTACATTTTTTTCTTTCGTTCTTTCCAAGTTTGATTGGTTTTAGGAATTGGGTGAGAGAGCGACGAAGAAGAGTATTGCTAATGGCACAAGTTGTCAGTAGTGAAGCTGGTGATTCTTGTTTGTCTGTGTGAACTTGACAATCTTTCTCTCTCAGTCACAACTTACATTATTTGGAGTGGTAAATTTGCTCGGACAGTTGGGAATTCTTTTTTTGAGGTGTTTAGCTTGTAGCTTGCTAGACACAGAGGGCTCCAAGAGATGATCGATTCGTCATCTGCCCTCTCAAAAGATTGGGAAGTTCTTGTAGCAGGCAAGGGGTTTGCGCTGTTTCGTGGGGTTTGTGGGGTGAGAGGAGGTCTCCTAGTTATATATAGTCCCTTGCTAGATTCTATGATTCTCTTTGGGCGTTGATGACATGGTTGTTTGTATATTATTCTTGAGGCCTCATTGCATTTGATTGGAACCCCTTTCTTTACTGGGGTTCCTTTTGAATGCTCGTGTATTCTTTCATTTTTTCCTCAATGAAGCTCTCTTTTTCACAAGAAAATACTTGCACTTTTCATATTCATTTTGGGAGTCATTCTCTCTGCATGCTACCTATTTGGATGTTATTGACGACCTCACTTGTGAATTCTAGGTGGGAATAAAATGAACGAGACAATGATACAATTTCAACAGAGCTTAATTGAGCTAGAAACGGAAGCAGAGCGTCTCCTTATAGCCCGCAATGAGGTAAGTGTAAAAACATTGTAAAATTAGCAACTTAGCTTACGAGATGACTTGTATTTCCTCCTCTTTGTGACGTTCACTGAAATTGAAGTGTCACAACTTGTCTATCGTTGAAATGAAATTGTTCTATAACTTTGAGAAGCAAAAAGGTGAAGTGACTACTGTTGTTTGGGATTATAATGTCAGTTGGTTGAAAATGATAGAGTGAGAAATGGGAATAGAGAAGCGTTGACTGCTTTGAGGAGGCGAGCACGGACAACAAAATCCAGTGTCCCATCACCTTTTGAGTCAATTATGAAGGATATGGGAGGTTCTGAAACAAGGCCATTGGTGAAGGAGATTTGCACTACCTGCGGGAACCATGACTCTAATGAGCGCACCTGGATGATGTTCCCAGGAACCGATGTGTTCGCCAGGGTTCCATTTCATGCTGCTCATTCAATCTTGGAGACAGGTTATTACTGGGACATTTTATTTCACGCTGTTAATGTTATGTATTTATTGGTGCATGGCTCTCTTTAGGAAATAATCCATTAGACTAAATTAAAATGTTTGCAATTCCATGTTCATTCTGCTCCCTGTAATGGCTATAATTAAATCCTCAAAGTTTCACGTTGAATAATCCAAAAGGTTTCTCTTAAGTTGGATGGGACAGCAGGGGGACCGGGGTGGTGTGTTGTTCGTGTTAGACGAACACGACTCTCCACAATGGTATGATATTGTCCACTTTGAGCATAACTCTCATGGTTTTGCTTTGGGCTTCCCCAAAAAGTCTCATACCAATGGAGAGAGTATTTCTTGATTATAAACCCATGATCATTTCCTAAATTAGCCGATGTGTAATTTTCATCATCCTACCGGTTGTAGTCAGTCTATAATTTGCCACTGGGAACATTCACTCACTTGTACTTTGTAGAGCTTTCACTTTATTTTGACAGACACATTATTGTTTTCACATGGCAGATCAGTCGAAACTTGATTTTGAGGCAAAGAAATTGCAAAGTTTTGTAAAAGATCAGTCCCTTCTGATCTCAGAAAAAGGGGTCCTCGCTGACAAGATCAGTCCCGGGGTGCTCAAGGCTTTAGTGACATTGACAGACAAACCCAAATGATTTTGCCTATCTATTTTGCCATTCCTACTCCAATATGAATAAGGAGATGGATATTGCGTTCGTCCAGGATCCTTGTTGCTGTGGCTTGGATGGAGGGCTGATTCTCCTGGAAGCGTTGAATACATCCCAAGTACATCATCTTTTCACTTGTTACTGTTTTAATTATTCATTTACTTGTGCATGCTGGGTAGCATTATCATAGATCATATCTCCTAGATTGATGGGATTCTGGACTTATCTGATTGGCGTATATTAACAGTATATTAACAACACGTACTCTCTAAATTATTCTTGGTATCTGCATTACAATTTTAGCTTCATTCGGTTGAGGATTATTGAAAAGAATGATGAAGAGAAAAATCATGGGTTTATAACTAAGGAATACATCTCCATTGGTATTGGTTAGAGGCCTTTTGGAGAAACCAAAAGTAAAGCCGTGAGAGATTACGCCCAAAATGGACAATATCATACTATTGTGGAGGTTCGTAATTCCTAACACCTTATCCTATTGGAACAAGGCGTTTGTCGTTTGTCCTTATTTACTTGGGTTATAACGATGTTGCTTCTTAAACAGAATTTGTTCTATAGTATTGTACTAGTGTTTCCTAGAGTTCTAGAAACAATAATGTGAAAAATGCTCTCTTGATCATGATTTTTGATATTGTTTCAAACATCGCATAAATGTTTTAACTCTTGTCAACTTGATCTTATTTCAGTGCTAAAATTTAGATTTGCGGTATCAATTTTAAAATTTTAGAAATGTTTCAAAACTATATTGAATAGAATCTATTTGAATATTATTATTGTATACTTAATTTTATGGGTATTTTTGTAAAAAAAAATATTTAGCCTATTTAATTATCATTATTATTATAATTTAACAAATTGTGAGACAGTAATTTAACTATCCATTCTTGAAATCGAAATTTATATATTATATATTATTTATTGTATTAGGTTCTAATAAAATTTGAAAAGTTTCAATAAAAAAATCTGAAAAATACTCTAAAAATATTAGTTTTGAATAGAAATTGTAAACTTAAATATTAAATTTAAAAAGGTTAAAAAATATGCATAAGATTTTGAAGGTAACATTAACACCTTTACCTTTAAAAGTGCTTACCATCGATATATAGAAAAAAATCGTCTACCGAAACTTTATAAATTATCTACCGACTTTTTAGTGGCAATAACGGTAAAAGTGTTTTTTTTTACTTTTTTAAAAAAGTTAAAGTTTGATAACTAAATAAAATTTTGAAAACTTAAAAGGCATTTTTGAAACAAAATATTAACGGATATCTCCGTAGAAAGTTTTTTTTTACTTTTTTGAACTTGTTTTAATGTAAAAAAAAGTGTTTTTAAGTTTTTTTTTTTTAATTTAAATGTATTATTGAAAATATTGAAATTTTAGAAATATTTCTTTGTACAAAATGATATTTTTATTAAATTAACCTATATTTTATTATTTACTTAGGCTTATGCCGATGAGATTATTACTTAACTTGATAACAAGTTCAGAGTGATAATAATTATCTGTTGTTTCATATTAGAGTCTTAATTAACCAAATAATTAGTTAATCAATTAATATTATTATTATTTTATAATAAAAGGATTCAAAAGTTTATAGTTTTAAACAACATTGGAGTCGTGATCGTGAAAGGAATTCCATAACTCGCGACATTCTTCATCTTCTTCCTTCGATTTCCCACTCACAGACAGCAACCCAAACGCCGTCCTCGGCGCCTGCATCAGGTCCAGCGTAACGTGCGCACCGCCATGTCCATCATGCATCTTCTCCCAACTCTGTTCCAATCCAACGCCGCCGCCGAAATCATCCGCCGTCCTCGTGTGGTTTGAGTGCCAATCTCTCTCCAGATTCAGCTGCCGAGCCAGAATGGCCGCGCGATTCTCCGCTATCAGTTCTCGGAGCGCTGCGCTCGACCTCAGCGATAGCTCCGATGAGGTCTCCCATGATTCGTTCTTCGATGACAGAAGAGAGAGAGCACGTCCCGTCGGCGATGGTATGTATGCAATCTTACCTGTCCTCGACTTGTTTTCTGCAATTTCCCCCAATTTTTAGGGCAAAATTGATTCAATTTCCGTTATAATCGATTGAATAACAAACGATCGTCATTCTGAATTTTACTTCAAATAGAGAACCCTAGCTTCGAAATAATTAATAACAAGGAAACTAAAAATCATTTTAATCACAGCTTTTACTTGAAGTTCATAAAATCAATTTTGGAAATATTAAAAGCAGTCCTTTTCTGATTTTCAGACTTCGATGTTGAACAAGGAAACTAAATAATCGGCTTTCTACTTAAAGTTGGGGATAAGAACAAAAGATAATAATTAGGAATTGGGGATAAGAACTGTTCTGTAAAGCGATGGGTTAAGTGTGGTTCTTAAAGTTGAATTGCTATATTCATAACTGTTCATGAGCATGCTTTATTGTATAAAAAACAAAAAGTTCAAATTCCATACTCTTTTTTCTGTCTGTTTTTGTACTTCCATCAGTAACTGATCAAAACAATGATTCAGAACACATTTTTGATTGTTGATTGATATGAATTGATACGAGTTGAAATGAAAAATAAGGGAATTGGGTACCTCCGGACCAGTTCCTTGCTGCTACAGATTCCTGAGAACTCTTTCTTCGTCTCTCATTGTGCCCTGCTAATCTCCTCCTACAGCTCCTCTTTGAATCATCAAACTCAGAAATCACATGAAACCTGAAACCCAATTGTTGTTGTTATTGTTGTTATTGTTATTAATTGTGTTAAAATGGAATTAATGTCGAAATTATTCTTTGAAATTCCGCAGCACCTGCTACACTGCTGGCAGAACCTCTGTTCTAAGCCAACAACCACAACTTTGGGAGCCTTGGAGTGCATCTCGCAGACCCTATGCCTACGGTGGTAGTCCTTAGCGTTCACCAGCGCCACATGACACCCTTCCACTTGACACCGAGGAACGCTAATCGGAACTGTACTGTACAACGGCTTCCCTCTCTTCCCCACGACGGACGGCGCAGTGGCGTCCTCAAAGTAGTGCCTCTTGCCGAGCTTCAAGCACATGAGATATGGGTCCCGGTGGAAATGGCCGCCCTGATGGTGATCTCCGGCGTAGAGACACTGGTGGTGTTGGTGGGCGTCACCGTGGGTGGAGTTGGCAGTGGCCCAATCCAAGTGGAAGCGAGAGGAATTGAGGTGCTCCCAAACGTTAGTGGGGTTGGCAGTTTGGTCTCTTCCAGCATTGGACTGTCCAATCAAATTGCCACAAATCTCCATCTCAAGAACTGCAAGAACTGCAGCAAAAGAAGGAAAGGAAGAAGAGAGGTTAGAAATGGTGGGCGAAGAAATAGGCATAAGGGGTTGGGGGAATTTATACCAAAATAAGTAAAGAAGAGGGTGGTGTCGGAAAAAACCGAGACAGAGACAGAGGGAAACAGAGGGCTAAAAATACTTGAATTAAATTTTAAATAAGTGAAAATTTTAATTTAATTATTAAAAAAGATTAAAAAAAATTGTGATTGTGAAGAACGGATAGAGAAGAGGGTGGGCCATACCCGTGTAGAAGGTGGGATCCATATCAAGATCTCCTAAACACAGCAGAGATTGTGATTGTGACCACTCCTACTATATATGTATTTATGAGATTATTTTTTTAAATATTGTATTTTTATTTTTATTGACTTAAAAAAATTGTTGAGTATTTTTAAAAATAATTACAATTTATACTTAAACTATCTAACCTAATTCAATTCTACCCCATCCTTTTTTTAAAAAAAAAAACATTTTTAAAAAATTATTAATGCCTTTTAATAGAAATTTCAAAAACACCTTTAATTAAAAAAAAAATCAAAAACACTTTTAAATATTTTTTAAAACCTAAAAAATATACTATGTTTAAATAATATTCATGAATCTTTCAGAATAACATTAAAACCTTTTTAGATAATCTATGAAATGGTGATGGTAATTTTTTTTTTTTTTAAGGTAAATAGTATAAAGGTTACTTTTAAAAGTTTGTGGGTATTTTTTAAACATACTAAGGTAAATGTATTTTTTTGATTTGTGTAAAAAAAAATTAAGGGTATCAATGTAACTTTTGAAACTTCAAGTTTATTTTTGAAAGACGGTAAAAGATTTAAGAGTATTTAAGGGTATTTTTTAAACCAATTACTTACCTATAATGGTAGAGTATTTTTTTTAAATTCAAAATTTTAAAAATTTAAGGATATTTTTTAAATAAATTATAATGTTAAACAGTATTTTTATTAATTTACAAAACACAAATATATAAGTAAAAAAAAAAACTAAATTTTAATTTTAATTTAATTTAGGAGTAAAGAAGAAAGGGAAAGGGGAGAGATCTTTGGGGCCCAAAGAAGAGACATGATCTGATAGGATTCTGCCACGTGTACGGCGGAAAACGCATGGAAAGACAAGTATATCTTGGGAGTACATGTCCAAAGATCTCTCCCATCTGATTTTGGATAACAAATGTGAAAGGTTGTTGCTGTAAAGGAGAGAATCGTAATTTTGCATTTGGGATTGCAAGTCAAGTGGGTGTTTGACACGTGTACGTACATCATCTCTAAAATTATTATTATTATTATTATTTTATAATTTTACCCAAAAAGAACATAAAACTGCAAATGTACTCAGATTATAGTGTTTCTTTTAATGAAACAAATGAGAGATATTTATATAATCTTTAAAAAAAAAATGAAAGAAAAAAAAAAAAAAAATGAAGATGTTCCATCAAGCT